TTTCGGCCATATTGACAGCGAAATTTCCAGACGTTTGTTAAGTGTGCATGATAAATGAAATGCTTTACTCCATTAAACATATAACTAAACTTAACATGTAAATCTCAGATGCAGTTCTTGCGTCGACCGGTGATCCCTTTCGAAAAACAATGTTATTGACTAAAGTTTTAAGGAATCACTGGTACCAAGTTGCCTACGAAGGCTGGCGCGCGAGTGTTATTGCACGAATGGATTTAAACGAGTGGCATCCTCGTGGAAATTGGCGTGTGCTAAATCTTCAGACTAAGGTAGACTGTCACCCTTGCTGACTGTCATCGGTCTTTTCTCATCTCGTTCTCACACGCCATTCGTCTTTTCTGCTGTTGCAAATGACACCGCTGGAATGTAGGCAATCACGTCATACGTGACGAGTATTTGTCTACAACATAGGTCCTCTAAGCACCGAAGACGTTGACTGAATAACGCTTCCTTCACAGGAATACCACAGATTCGGGGACAGCAGAAATGAGGTTCGCAGCAGGTAAGCAAAGACTGCAAATGAAAAGCTGAATTGCTGACATTCATCCGTTTTGCACTTAAACATCCATCAGTTCTGTTATCGCCTGCTAGAAATCCCTCCCGCCATGTATTTGCCGTCCCGAGAGCTCAGTTTGATAGGATGTCGTACACTGGCCACAGCATGGTAAGCCTGTGGGTTTACGTCTCAAACACAGGTCTACGTGCTCTTCTCTGACGGCCCAGCGGCAATTCACGAACCCAGCCAGACAGAATCAGTGCGAGAATTTGAATGATCTTCCACGAACATTTGACCAGGGAACCTTGACCTTTTCTACATCAGTCGCAGGTGTTAAGATCTTGGGCAGCAAGCTTTGTTCGGCAAGAGCGTTTTTCCCTAAGTGATCCCTGCAAATCAGCATTTCACATTTCTAGGGAACGGTATATGCTGCCGCTCCATTGCAGTAAACATCGTATTTCACTTGGTAGTCTCCGTGAGCACACCTTTACTAAGTATTGGCGCCCATATTGCCACGTTGTACGCTGGATGGGCTCAAACACCGTAGAGTCGGCAGTGTAGGAGGCTGCGTGTAGGTCGTCGTGTAGGTCCAGTAGCGCACTCCGTATTATTTTCATGCCACAGCGCTGTAGAGCCGGAATACTTCAGCATGAAGCTGAAACGGATTGGGCCTACCGAACATCGTTTTTGAGATGGCTACGCGAAATATTCTGACGTTCTTCGTTGGTTAACATCGATAATTTTTGTGCTAACTTTTTCTTTAGGTCACAATAATTACGCAGGTTGTGCACCTTAACAGGGTCCAGTGTGAGGCAACTGCGACAAAGAAACCTTTCCATCATGTCGGCGCTTCCGTTCATATCGTTATGACCGAATGCAAGGGGCGATAGTAGCAATATGTTTGGGTATTTTCTGGATTTCTTGGGATTGAAAGTTTGTTAGTGAGAATTCCGCATGTTCTGAGCGCAAATTAATTAACTCTCTGGAGGAGCGATTCGTTATAAGGTCTTAATTAAGAAGGTTGAAACTGCCCACAAATATCTTAATTAAGGACGAGGTAGCAGCTTTTATCACAACGAACTCTTAAGCTCAAGCCATATCGAATTTGGTAGCATCATTGTCCACTCTTTACGAATAAATAGGCCTGCAAAAGTTTTGCTTCATGCTTTTAGTCCGTAGCTTCACCTCTAACGACAAAGTGCAAGGGGAGCATACTTGAGTAGTTCGCCATGCTTTGTGATTGAGAAGCTCCTTCTCAAAATGAGAGCAAATTTCCACACCCTCATTTCGCCCTCGGTATGCACGGGGGGATGCCTCTTCGCACGCAGTGAAGTGCGTGCCATCCGCTCACACTACAGAAAGCCGATCAATGGTAAAAAGGTTGATATGTTTCTGTTTTCTTCTTAAGACCCCCGCACCGAAGGTAGCAAGTCTTTATAAAAATATTGACCAAAACCGAGCGCTTGATTGTTGTTGAAATGTTGTGTAGCGATAATACTGCCAATGTCTGCTTGATAACATATTTTTAGCAATGTCTTTCAATCATTACCTTCTGCAAACCAACAACCACTCTCTCAGAATGTGGGGGGCAGGAACGAAAAACTAGGACGCATACCATGGGGCAAAAGGAAGACTGCTACACGATTTGACGAGCTCCGGTGGGCGACATTGCTGCTGCGTTTGTAAGCGTCGTAATATCTACCATGTGCGCTTACGCCAATTTGCCCCGACCGAAACCTCGGGCTGTTCCGGGCGACTGTGATGTGTCGACTCGCCACGTCTGCTGCGCGCCCGACTAACCGTTACACAGCGGCATTTTCCGTAGCGCGCCGCCGCCGCATGGAACTGGCTGCCTGCGGTGGCCGTCCGCGCCCCCTCGCGCCGGGCATTCCTGACGGTGTTAAATCGCTGGCTCATTGACTGAAACCGCTTTCACCTGTGCTTATATGTGTATCTCTGTGTACTGTGTGTGCGTTTTTTTTTCTTGTTCGGCTAGGCGCAAAACAATCACCGCGTGGACGCACGTTCAATGAAATAGTTATAGCTGTTGGTCGGATATTCAGTATGCATACCAGCACTGGAGTGGTCAGACGTATTCCTGAACAAAAAAATAGTGTCTTTTGGTGACCGGAGAGGGCCTGGGTGGCCATTGCCCCTGCCCCTGAGCATTCAGGAGGGGAACGCCAACGGTCAGGGCTTCTCAATGGCCAGGGGGTCCGTCAGCGGTCAAAAAAGCTCTGGCACCTGAAACGGCTAATGAGCGTCCAGAGAGGCTCTAAGCACAAAACGTCCTGCGCGGAAAATACGACCTCTCCAGCGGCCAAGGAGTCCTTTGGTCGTCCTGAGGTCCCGTTAAGGTCTTGACTGGACTTTAGCGAGAGGGGTCTAAGTAGCCGGAAGGCCCCTAGGCGATCAAAGTGCCTCTGTTGGCCAGAGGGGACCAACTGAACGGCCTGATTGTCCTGATGTACCCGGAGTTGCCAGGCGGACATGCTGAGCATCCAGAAAAGATGATTTTTTACTTTGAAGTTTAACCAACTTTATTTCGGTAAAGCCACTTTTGGGGTGCTTCTCGCCCAGTTCGTCCATTTTTCTTCGTACTGTGTGAGCCGAAAAGGGCCACTTCGAGGGGCCCTTGGGCTCCCCAGGACTCTCACTCACATTTTAAATTTACAGCAACTCGGTTTCGACCCACATAGGTTCTCTAGCCATCAACTCCTGGTAAACTGTAGGCCGATAACTGTCAACACTTACTCATAACGCTCAAAAACAGGCCACTTTTAATACACTTAAAGACACTTTAAGACGCCTTAATATATTTTTAGTTTGTATCAAGCACGTTTATTGAGCATGCTTTTTAAAAACACTCATCCAAGACCTTGCCTGTTCATTGAACTACGGTACCATGGTGTCAGGTCAGCACAGCCATATCTACGACAGCTGTTGTCGGTTTTCTTTAACCGCATTAAAATGCGCGGTAAAATAATTATAATTGGGGCGTTGAACAGAAACACATATATTTCTTTCGGCGCAAAAGCAGTACAGTATTGAAAACAGGCATCACTTTTGAAAAGTCGGGGACCTCTCCATACTAAATGAGACTGATGACCTTCGCGGAGCTTACTTAATCTTCAGTCAGTTCCAGACCGCGTTCATGCTCTAAATCTGATTCTTCGAGCGACCTTGACCATATGCGACTTGAGCAATGCCATTATTTGTCCTAGGAATTTGTAATGTTCCGCATCTGTAGTTGTGGAGTGGCCTGATCCGGGGGTCACTGGTTGACCTCTAGAGGCAAAGCTTGGAAAATCCGTCGACAGGAGACCATTTTCTCTATTGACTTTTACGTTAAGGCCGTTGCCCTATTGATAACCATATTTTGCGCTATTAGGGATAAGGGGTACGTGCCATTCCACGTGCCCGAGCTAAAACAATAACCACTGAGTGAAGACTGATCATGCTGTGTATACTGCTCTTCGTAAATGACTACATCACGACGCCAAAATCCGCGACAAAGGTGCAAAATTAAATGATAACGTGCAGAAACTATGACGAATCCGTAACAAACAGATATAAATTGTCTTCGAAGCATGCATGCGTATGATGGAGATGTGCCATGTCGCTGTGTTGTAACGTAAAACGCCACTCTGCAAGCGTCTTCTCCCCACCAGTCGGGCCACGTCCCTCTCATGAGCGATGGACTCTGCCCAGCAGGGATGCGTCTGCCGAAGGACCTGGACTACGGACGGCGGTGACCAAGTGGAAGGAAGAAAACGTGAATGGGTGGCTCGTTGTGACGTCTGGTACATCCCGGCCGGCAGACCAGGAGCCAGGTGTCCATGTCAACGGTCGTTCGGGTCGCAGACACGCGCCGTCTTCACCCTTCGTTTTCGCAACTGACTATCCCCCACTGGAATCCACCAAGCCGTGCCCACCGCCCCGGCGGTGGACCGCCGACACACCTCCACCGGCTCAGGCACGGACCGCTGTCCCGCCCCCACCGGCTCAGGCACGGACCGCCGTCCCATCCCCACCGGCTCAGGCACGGACCGCCGTTTCATCCCTACCGGCTCAGGCACGGACCGCCGTTCCATCCCCACCGGCTCAGGCACGGGCCGCCGTCCCACCCCCACCGGCTCAGGCACGGACCGCCGTCCCGTCCCCACTGGCTCAGACATGGACCGTTGCCCCACCCCCACCGGCTCAGGCACGGCCCGCCGTTCCATCCCCACCGGCTCAGGCACGGACCGCCGTCCCATCCCCACCGGCTCAGGCACGGACCGCCGTCCCATCCCCACCGGCTCAGGCACGGACCGCCGTCCCGTCCCCACTGGCTCAGACACGGACCGCTGTCCCACCCCCACCGGCTCAGGCACGGACCGCCGTTCCATCCCCACCGCCTCAGGCATGGACCGCCGTCCTGCTCTCACCGCCCCAGGCACGGACCGCCATCCCGTCTCCACCGTCCCAGGCCCGGCCTGCCAAGCCGACCGCTTCGGATCGGTCGTGGAAGCCCGAGCCGTCAGTGGCCTGCCTGCCGGCGGTCTGCAGCCAATACGGCACCAGCCTGGGCTGTGGGGATGACAGGTGCCAGAAGCTGCACTTGTGCGTCCTCCTCCTGGCGGACATCTGCAAGTTCGGCGACGCCTGTCGCAGAGGCCACTCGCTGACCACAGTGCACAACCAGGTGAGAGCGGTCGTCAGTGATCACGGAAGGGCTGAGGAGAGTGCGGGTAATGGAGAGAGTGACGGAGGAGGGGGGGGGGGGGGGGTGGGGGTGCTGCCAGCCTGAGCAATGTCGCCAGGGGGGACCGTGTTCGGGATGTGTCCTCTCATCATAACGGTGTCGCCCTCGAACTTGGGATGTTAACGATGGTTTCCAACCAAACAGTGAGCCTTTTAACCGCAGCATTGGAAATAGCTGGCCTGGCCCATTAGGGGGCATTTGGTGTTACGTAGATATTAGTGTTCTCTTCACAAATATTACGGATTTGGCGGTCATTTCCGCACAATTTTGCAAGGTGGAGGGCGTTTGCAAGCACTATCTTTAGATTAGGCTTCGCGTACCAAAGACATCTTACCAAATGTCAAATTTTGCTTTGCCTTGTTGGGTTGGGTCGGTAAGCCAAAACAGAAGATGTGAAACAATGACATCTATATTAAACAGATCCCCACCTGGATCAGGAGCTGTATCGCATCGCGTCTACTTCGTGCCATATGCAGGAAATTATACATGTAATGTATGTTCGGCATTATTGGCATCATCATGCAGTTGTAGTTCTAATCAGAAGTGTGTGCGCCAACTTGACGCGTTCGTGGTCGGACACTTCCAACCGTGGAATTCTTTCGCCCTTCGTATGACAAGGAACCTACACAACGTACAAACCTACACTGGAACCTACAGTGAAACCACCTCCTCACATAGCCTCTCCTGATCAAATTCACTTTTCAAGTTATCTGGCTTGATGTATCAGTATTGAGTACTCTTACAGGATTTTCGGAATAATTTCAAAATATCCCACAGTTCCGCGCACAGAAAGTTTAATGCAAAAGCCAGTGCGATCTCATTCTTTCGTTAAGGACCTCGATCGAAGAAAGCGTTTCCGGAGTAAGGCAAAGGCCCAAAGTGAGTGAGTATAGCTGATATCACGTCATTCGTTTTAAAATGGCATTGTAAATTATATCTAGGCCGCATGTAAGTTACAAACTTAACCACTTTGGGCGCACGATTTCTCCGACATGGAGGGGGTAAATCATGAGTGGAGGGTCAGACTGGAGTATTGAGGAGATAAACCGGCGCGAAAATGACATTTTGTGAGCAAAACATGAAAAACGTCCTTTCCAACGGTGGAATCGGGGGACAAAACATTTTGGGAACGTTAGGGGGAATATCTTCCCCGCATCACCCCCCCCCCCCTGGTTACATCCACATTATCCGCAGCAGACCCTGTCGCAGAGTAAAAAAAACATCCGACCAAATCTGAAAAAGTAGCTTTTCCCCGTGCTCAGAAAGGTAGGGCAATTTATAAGACCCGGGCAGAGACCAGCGCTGGGCCGGAGAGCAAGCAGAGTCTATCGCTGGATCGGGCGTCAGGACAAATGCTGTCCCGTGCAGGCTCACAGCCAAAAGTGAGGATCCCTACCGGGACGCCAGACTGTATGCCGGGACGCCAGGCTGCACGCCGGGACGCCAGGCTGCATGCCGGGACGCCAGGCTGCATGGCAAGACGCCAGCCTGCACGCCGGGACGCCAGGCTGCATGCCGGGACGCCGGGCCAGGCGCAGACACCACGCGTCAGCGCACCCCGAGACCAGGGCTGCTCAACCCTGCAACACGCTATGAAGAGAACAGCCCCAGCTGATGTCTGACTCTGATTGGCTCCTTTTTTAGAAATGGCGAACAGGTCTGCTGTGGTACAGCCCGCTATTTGTGCGCAATCCTGCAAAACTTCAGCAGTTTCCTCCCAAAATGAAGTTAATGTTTGCCACCGGCGGTACGAAAGCGTTGGTACAAAACTAGCAGAACGTTGGCAGCACGGGTGACGTAAAGCACGCAATTGTGCCGCCTAAGCTCCAGGGTGGTCGGCTGAATACCAGGCGCTTGGGTGGTAGGGGTCAACTCGAACACCCCTAGATATTTTAAATATTCAGGGAGATATAAATACCAAGTTGACAGGTCAGATAGGTCTCTATGTGAGCTCACTTGCTTCAGGTTTTCAGATACTAGGCCGTCATTTTCGCGCAAAATAATGTCAAACAAGGTCAAACTCCAGATCGGTGACCGAAGCGTGCGCTCAGATCTCCCCAAGCAGCCATTCTCGATTTAAATAACACATATGGGTGAAACGTCAATGGTGTTCATATCAGGTCAGTGAACTTATTCAGCCTTAGGAGAAAAAAGGCCAAAAATGTTCTACATTGTGCTAGTATATGTATTTACAATCGGCCACAAATGCTATCCTAGACGCATACTATCTCTTGAAACCAAAAGTGTGATCGAAGTCAGTTTAGGTCAGTGAACTTCTCTGGTCTTTATAAGTCATAATAAGAAATCCTTTGACGTCGTGGTGGTCCGGAAGTCGGAACAAGGCGTACTAAAAGTGGTTTACTTTTTACCTTGATCTGACGTCCGTACCCGACCCATAATCAAAGGAATCAATCGCAATTCTAATTTTGACAGTCTAATTGTCTCAGACAGCACCTCAGAACTGCATGAATTCGTCTTACACCACGCTGCCGCATCATATTGAGCATCTCGGTAGGAGTGGCTTTCGCTGACCGTCATGGCGTGGCTTTTGCAGCGATCTTACAAGGTAGGTGTAATTTGTGTACCAACATGTTGGCTACTTAGCACACGCCCGAGTGGGGCAAGCAATCTGACTCCCAAAGGTTTTTACAAAGTAATTTTTGAGCAACACGTAGCCCCGCCATACTGCATACCTGGAGGCATCTGAAGAGGATGTTATGATCTGCAAAGTTAGATGTACTTTGCAAGGTTGCTGACCTATGGCAGGTCAAATTCATGCCGTGGATGTCAGCACAGTGAATTTCTATGAAATCGTTCAGCCTGATGCGACAACGAAGTGTGAGATACATCTCTGGCATAGCTTCTAAGGCAATGCTCCGGTGGAATTTAAGAAAGTCATGACTTTAATTGGTATAGGGTGAGGTATAAAGGTCAGGCCAAGGTCAAAATCAATCCGCTTTTTCACTGAAGAGCTTGCGTAATGAGGTACTTTCTGATGCTTATTTCAAGTTTATTAATAACAGTGACCACAATAGACATCCTCCATGGGCCTCGTAAATACCAGGCCTTTGCTTTTAGGAAGGTACCATCTAACAAAGGCCTTAGCTCTTATTCGAATAGCAAATCAACACAATCTCGCAGGTGTTTGGTCACCATGACCTTCTAAAAATCAAACAATGCCACTGACCTAAAAGAGATGCCCATGGACATCTGCTTAGAACAGTTATCTAGGTTCAAGGTGATTACATGAGGAGGTCTGGCTAGCCCTTTGGACGCTCGTCTGAAGTTTGGCGTTGTATGACCTTATTTGACCCGAAGGTGACAACCTATGGATTTAAGAAATGAGAAAATGAGCTCACATACGTACCAACCCATCCTTTGCGTTTTGTGTCGCCAGGCTCATTATTTATTTTGGATCTCATAGAGTCCAATTGACCCACCCGAGCATAGGATATTTAACTGGCCATCCGGACTCGTGTTGATTGCTTTCAGTTGTACAAAATTTAGCGTGGCCACACCATACCTGTCCGGAGCTTATGTTGAAATAGCCTTTGGGATGCATCCAAAATTGACCTCCCACTCCAACCGAGTGTGTGCTTATTATCATCAGCTTGTACGTAGTTACACGACAGAAAAAAAGTCAGTAGTACAATGGCATAATACCAAACTATATCTTGCAGATGGTGTGCAACAAGTTTGGACTTGAGACCACCCGGGAACTGCTGTCTATCCAAAAGTTGCAGCTCGCCTTTCAAGGAAGTGGTCGCGTGACAGAAGCATTTTATCACAAACGCCTGGAAGTGTGCTACAAGGCCGGCTCCGCGAGTCCTTGCTGTGAACATCTGTGCAACAGATTGCATATCTGCAGGTAATGCATTTTCTGAGCTCTGTACACCACGCGTTATTTTATATCGGCACTCGTAGGCGTCTTCTAGCTTGGGCGTCTGAAATTTTGCACGTTCCTTTGTTATACTTTGGTGGCGGTGTGTGTATGTGGGGGGGGGGGATATCTCCCGAATCGCTTTCACTTGACTTAGTTGCATTATTTTACACATCAGGTCACCAAGCTACGTCTCTTTTCATATTTTGCAACGGCGAAAAGGCCACCAACCAGCGTTCAGTAACCCAGTTGTGGCTTTTGAATAATTGTGTTATTTATCAGAAGGCGCAGGCTGCATGAAAAGGACATTAAAATAGGCACCTTTGATAAAAGTCAAGTACACAAATATGTCGCTCAAATTCAACACCGCCATGTAAGCAATATTTAAATATGCATGCAGCTGACAAACGGGAATGGAACTATCGTTCGGCGAAGTGACTGCCGTTACCTCGCTGACTTAGAGATGAGTATCACTCGGAAGCTAATTCAAAATTTTGCAAATGGTTTTGAGGTTTCATGGGTATCTCCCAGCATATGCCCATGTCATCCGTTGAAGTATGTGCATGCACTGAACCGGAAGCTTACGTCTGCACAAGGTCCAAATCCCAATACGTCATGAAGTGACGTAATGAGGTCACAAAAGTCCATGCGATGTAAATGGTGGCACACTGGCTGAACCAACGTTGATTCACGGACACATTACATGTGCGCGGAGATAAGACCACACGCTTCAGCTGTGACCTCGTTTAATTCGGACTGTCGGATACCCTGTCGGATGGCTCTGGAATGTCGGAAAAGATGAAAGCGTAAGCAATCTGATGCGTCACAATTATATTTTCGGATTCTCGGTTAACGGCTTGTCTGGGAGTGCAACTGACATTGTATCGACCGACATTCTCCCCGCCCCCTCTCTCACGCTGCCTGATAGCCTCAGCCGTTGAGCACGTCGCCCCCCCCCCCCCCCCAGGCTCACAAGGGAGCCCAACCTACCGAAGTGTGCGCTTTGTTAAATGCTGTCGACTGTTGAGATCGAATCCGTACAGGTGAAACAAATTTTCAGATCTCGAGTACAGACAACAGCAGCATAATGGTGTCAGCAATTGCAGCATCATTCTTTCAGAGTGTTTCTCACGTGTGTTGACATTGGGACTTGGCTCTTGTTACCTGACTCTCAGTATAGCCGCTGCCACTGAGGGTCAGGTAATGTTCCCCTGACTAAGCAGGCGTTACCTGACTCTCAGTGTAGCCGCTGCCACTGAGGGTCAGGTAATGTTCCCCTGACTAAGCAGGCGTTACCTGACTCTCAGTGTAGCCGCTGTCACTGAGGGTCAGGTAATGTTCCCCTGACTAAGCAGGCGTTACCTGACTCTCAGTGTAGCCGCTGTCACTGAGGGTCAGGTAATGTTCCCCTGACTAAGCAGGCGTTACCTGACTCTCAGTGTAGCCGCTGTCACTGAGGGTCAGGTAATGTTCCCCTGACTAAGCAGGCGTTACCTGACTCTCAGTGTAGCCGCTGCCACTGAGGGTCAGGTAATGTTCCCCTGACTAAGCAGGCGTTACCTGACTCTCAGTGTAGCCGCTGCCACTGAGGGTCAGGTAATGTTCCCCTGACTAAGCAGGCGTTACCTGACTCTCAGTGTAGCCGCTGCCACTGAGGGTCAGGTAATGTTCCCCTGACTAAGCAGGCGTTACCTGACTCTCAGTGTAGCCGCTGCCACTGAGGGTCAGGTAATGTTCCCCTGACTAAGCAGGCGTTACCTGACTCTCAGTGTAGCCGCTGTCACTGAGGGTCAGGTAATGTTCCCCTGACTAAGCAGGCGTTACCTGACTCTCAGTGTAGCCGCTGCCACTGAGGGTCAGGTAATGTTCCCCTGACTAAGCAGGCGTTACCTGACTCTCAGTGTAGCCGCTGCCACTGAGGGTCAGGTAATGTTCCCCTGACTAAGCAGGCGTTACCTGACTCTCAGTGTAGCCGCTGTCACTGAGGGTCAGGTAATGTTCCCCTGACTAAGCAGGCGTTACCTGACTCTCAGTGTAGCCGCTGTCACTGAGGGTCAGGTAATGTTCCCCTGACTAAGCAGGCGTTACCTGACTCTCAGTGTAGCCGCTGCCACTGAGGGTCAGGTAATGTTCCCCTGACTAAGCAGGCGTTACCTGACTCTCAGTGTAGCTGCTGCCACTGAGGGTCAGGTAATGTTCCCCTGACTAAGCAGGCGTTACCTGACTCTCAGTGTAGCCGCTGCCACTGAGGGTTAGATAATGTTCCATTGACTAAGCAGTTAAGCTCAGTCAGGGGAAAATAGTGAACGCTCACAGCGACTCGAGCTCACAGCGCCACGGGTGGGCAAGTATGAGGCAGGAGCTCGCTTACATCGTGATGACATTTCCGTTGGCAGCTCATCCAGATTATGCCTTTCATTCTAGGCGATTTTTGGCGGGGAACTGCACCAGAGTGATGTGCACGTTTGGCCACGATCTCCACACCACGCACAACAATAATGTGCTCAGCCGACACAGGGCGACCAACCTGCACGATGACGCCATCTTGGACCTGCTTCGTGAGAAATATCCTGATTGTCAGAAACAGGTAAACAATGCTGTGTGGAATATGGCAGGTGAGGGAAATGCCACAACAGGCTCCAGATATGCGCACATACTCCACACTAAACTTTCAGAGACGAAGCTTTCTAAAGCAAAGGTCTATTTCTTGACAAACAGATATTTTCTAGCATGTTCACCATAATAAATGCCACCATTCTCCATCAATTTTGATGGATTTAGGTAACAAGGCATTTAACTTCCTACACGCTTAAATAACGTGTATGATGATAATATATATATATATAATAACGTGTATTTTAACATACACATGAAATTTATACACGTCATCATCAATTCTTTTCAGGTAGGTAACAAGGCATTTCGATCCAGCGGGAGCAGTGATTTATCATGTTGCAATTTAAAGCTGCAAAACCTAGACATCATCTAAATTGGGAGTGAAACCGCACGTAGACACAATACATCGCAAACTAGAAATATCACAAGTTGCGTACGCTAAACACAGACGTGCATAAAGAAGAATCAGCAGGCTTTAAGTTCATGGCCATAAGCCAGTCTTAAGTTCCACAAGCCAAATCAGACAAGCCTAATGTCAAAGTGAATGCCCAGTTAACAACGTGCCACAGCTCATAGTGCACTTCAAATCGGATGTTGGAATTACACTTCATTTTTTAAGTATTTTGAGAAAACTGGTTCTGTATACCAAATCGAACGCGTCTGATTTATGAGCAAACAGTACCAAAACAGACGGGATATTCCCATTTACGTTACAACTGATAACTGGTTTGCTATGCGTGTGTATAAGTTTCCCTTATTTCCCGTCATAATATACACATCTACACACAATAAACACCAAACACCGCACAACACCATATATCACCATATAAAAACACCATGTATCACGTCCGTTATACATCCAATCGTTTGATCTTACCTAAACAACGTCATAAGTCACTTGACGAAAGCACGCCCTTGAAAAACCTGCCGACAGGCGACGCATTTGTTCAAACACATCTGTCGGTCCCTCCCCTGACCGTCCATAACTTTTTTGTTTTTCTTTGCATCAGCTGATCTGTGAGAATTGTTTCCCTTTGATAAGCGGTTGTCTTTTAAGTACGTCCCTGATATGGCTGGAGTGGTTCAAACCAGCATTAGACATAAGACCAACAAACATTAGACAGATGCTTGAAAACAAGCACCTGTCTAATGTTTTGTAAATAGCTGAAATAGATCATAACGACACCCACTTAACACTTAAGAATTTGGCGTCTCTTTTCTGTTTGGTGCTGACTAAAGTCTGCCCAAGGAAAAAGGTACCTACCAAAAACACGTAGATGTCCGAAAGTCCTTCCGCAGCCTGTGATATAAGGACTATCATTTTTAGAGAAATCCAAATTAGGTGGTTTAAATTCATAACAGCCCGGACTTTTGACCAGAACTCATGACCTAGGCTGTGGCCGCCTGTTTATACTTCACTGCTACATCGACTACCGGAACGCTTCTTCGTCCCTGACAGTATCATGCGTGAAGTCCAGTGTCGGAGCGGGCGATGTATGAAGTTCAGTGTCGGAGCAGGTGATGTATGAAGTTCAGTGTCGGGGCAGGCGGTGCATGAAGTTCAGTGTCGGAGCAGGCGATTTATGAAGTGCAGTGTCGGAGCGGGCGATGTGTGTAGTTCAATGTCGAGGTGGACGTGCATGAAGTTCAGTGTCGGAGCGGGCGGTGTATGAAGTTCAGTGTCGGAGCAGGCGAAGTATGAAGTGCAGTGTCGGAGCGGGCGATGTGTGTAGTTCAGTGTCGAAGTGGACGTGCATGAAGTTCAGTGTCGGAGTGGGCGGTGTATGAAGTTCAGTGTCGGAGCAGGCGAATTATGAAGTGCAGTGTCGGAGCGGGCGATGTGTGTAGTTCAGTGTCGAAGTGGACGTGCATGAAGTTCAGTGTCGGAGCGGGCCATACCTGTCATGTTCTTCAGCGCTCTGAAATGGGGGTGCCGGTAGTGTAGTGGTTAACGCGTCCGCTTTAACCACTGCATAACGTGTGGGATGTGCGTCTGGGCAAAACACAGGTACGAGTGGCTGCACGACCTTCCTGCCAAGGTGAGAGGCAGGCGATACCATGATATCCACAGCAGCTGAGAGCGTCGTAAAGTTCACACACACACACACACACACACACACACACACACACCACACACACACACACCACACACACACAACACACACACACACACACACACACACACACACACACACACACACACACACACACACACACACACACACCACACACAACACACACACACACCACACAACACACACCACACACACACACACACACCACACACACACACACACACACACACACACACACACACACACACACACACACACACACACACCACACACACACACACACACACACACACACACACACACACACACACACAACCACACACACACACACAACACACAACACACACCACACACACACACACACACACACACACACACACACACACACACACACACACACACACACACACACACGTGCGCGCGCGTTCCGAAACGTAAGCTAAATAGTGCTGTCGGCTGAAACCCGAAGATGCTTTGGTTCGCGAGTCAGAGACACATTCCACGGTATTTGACGGCGATGAGGATGGTGGACAAGGTCCTGGGCCCACTCGCTATTACCAGGTTGAATTCGGCAGTAGAATGTTTCGTGTCGGAGAGTTCCACCGACCCTCAAGTAGTTGAGTAGAGTCTGGTAGACCACATGCATTGTCCATGCCTGTCCGCACAGTCGCTGAGATCTCGCCACTGTCGTCGCCCAGTCCGATGTATCAGTACGTGCATCGGGGTATGGCCTAGCTCTGGAGGTCTAGCTCCTGTAGCGGTTCAGTCTGAGACGCCGGTGCGTCCCCTCAGGATGGTGTGAGGTCATCACCCGTGGTCGTCCGCAATGACAGTCAGTACGCGTCACCAGAATGATGGGTCTCGCTTCCGTCGTAGCCAAGCCTGACAAATGAGCGCTCTTCCCAGGGTGCCAAAGACTGCGGTCCCGACGGCGCTACTCCATGTCATCAGCAGCCTCGCGCGGCGGCCGAAGCGAGCCAAAAGGAAGGTGGAGGCCAGATGGATGGCATTACCGAGGAGCTGCAGTGTCCGGTCTGTCTGGACATGCTGCAGAGAGCCACCACGCTCGGCTGCGGACACACCTTCTGCGAGGCATGTTTGCGGGATGTCCGCGAAAGCGACCCCAAGTGTCCGCTCTGTCGCCGGCGCATCACGTCGTGCACGCGCTCCGTGACGCTGGATAACATCATCAGAAGCTTGGCCGCCGACCGCTGATCGATGGCCGGCTAGGCTGGGGACACATCAGGGGCTGGAACGGCGAGAGGGGTCTGATAGTACAGAGCATGTGTTTTGCCAATGTTGCACAGCTTAAGCCTGTGGTCATAGCCATATTCTCCGGAGATATAAAAAACCGGAGAAAGGACATTTAGGTGCGTTGGTATTTCGGCAACATGTGCTTGTCCAAACGAAAAGCAGAAGTGAACTCGAAACTCCCTGCCGATGACTCTGCTCGATTTTTCAGTTGTTTTTTTACACAGCTTTTACAGGACACCAATATACAGGTGTACAGATCAAATTATCAGCATTGTACATCTAGCAACGTTGCCGCAAGATACCAGACCGTAAACTTAGCGTTGGTGTCGATATATGGCTACTTGCATACCGTTACTTGGGCAAGGCCTACAGCAACGTGTAGTCGATAAGGCGCATAACAGTTGCATCGTATAGACCGATGAAAAAGCGAATGGCTGAGAAGAGCTGCCGTGCCCTTGGTAGCGCTTCATTGATGATTTGTCGGCGAGTGGGGCAGACTGGTCGACGGAGATTATCGCAGCGGTATGTTATGACACGGTCGTATGCAATGTTAATAAAAATGACATGCTCCATGTTAAAGCGATGTCGCCCCGTTCGTTTTACTTTGGACCACTATACCGTTGGTCTACATAAAGCAAAAGCAATTTAAATGATGCATCAACCGGGAGGAGCGAGCAAGTATTTTAATGTTTTGTCAGCTACAGCATCAAACTAGTCATATCAAGCGCAAGGCTGGCAACCTGAACGGATGCAAGGCGTGGGATGTGTCTAAGGTGAGGGTGAGAGAACATTGCTGGAAGTAAGCAAGGAAAGTGGAAGTTGTGAGAACAGGGCATCGCAATCCCACCGCCAAAGTCTTGTGGAGGCAGGTGGAGAAGCCATTTAAGAAAATTTCCATTGAAAAGGGAAATGCCTCATTGTCCCGACGCTACGCATGGAGGCGAAACAATATGAAAGTCAAAATTTTGAAGGATTTCACGGAACACGAACGGGAATTGGGGAAAAAGAAATATAATCCTTCATACGATGTCACCTGCCCAAATTTTGCCGTCTGTGGGCAATACACCTTTGGCCACGGGGCCCCTCGTTTCGCAGCCAGCGTGTGGTTCGGACACGTCAGACCCCTAGTCTCGAAGCGAGATCGTTGATGCCGCCGGTGGCCACGTTGCGGCGTTTGCAAAGTCAGCTGACTGTCCCTGCCGCGATACGACAGATAGCCGCAGATCACCCCGTCACTGATAGCCCAGTGAGAGGGTCTCAATATCAGCCATGGCGAGCTTATCGAACGGCACTGCCGGTGGCGGCAGAAACCGCTGGCCAGCCTATCGAGGCTGGGCGAAGGGGGCCAGGTGGGTTCAGTGCAGGGGCGAGACACGGCGGTGATCGCGTCCCTGAGGACATGCGTTGTCCAGCCATCACCTTGTGATCGATGTCACGCCTCGGTGGTCAAATGTGATCAGATTTATTTTCGCGGAAAGAAAAAACGTATTCGTGTTAGAGGTAAAGCACTGTTTTTGTTTCCCCTAACTTATGAATAGCTGAGCAGGCACAGAAGGCCGAGAAATTG